GTTGTTCCAATGCCAAGTCTCGTCACGTGCTTGGCCAAGCGAATGAAATCCTGTCAAATGAAATCCAGCTCCGTCACAAAGGCTATACCTAAATAATACATGTAACTTATATATAAAGATTAGATTATAGCTTATAGTAATAGAACTTAAAATTATATTAAGAGTTTTATATTAAGAGTTTAAATTTATAGAACTTAATTAAATTAAAGAGAGAGTTTATATTAATAATTATATCTGTTTTATTTACTTCTCGCTCGCGAGAAGAAGATGATTCTCGCGGGTCTTAACTCCCTTGACGAGCTAGACGCCGCTGAAGAGTTGGAAAGGAAAGAAAAGGAAGAACAAGAAGAGAAGGAGAGGAGGGAGGCAGAGGTTGCCAGGCTGGCAGCCCTGCCCGCTCCTACTGGTTCCAATCCTGGTTCCGTCCTAGGTTTTGACCCCGCCCTGGGTCTCGACCCTGCTTTCTTCGAGGCTTTCCCTCCTGACCATGAGATGTNCTGGTTCCGTCCTAGGTTTTGACCCCGCCCTGGGTCTCGACCCTGCTTTCTTCGAGGCTTTCCCTCCTGACCATGAGATGTGGGCAACCCTGGATTTCGGCGATGGAACTCCTGAAGTTCCTCGGAGTACTGATTGATGTTGTTTCTGGGTTCCCAAGTGTTCTCCGAGTGTGGGTAATCCAACCATTTGATCAAGTACTTGATCTGTCCTCTGACAACCCTGCAGTCAAGAATCTTCTCGACCTCATATTCAGCATTTGGGTTGACTGGTTGAATTTCTGTGTGTGGGGCTGGTGGTGCTCCCGGTGGTGCTGGTTCGAGTAAGGATATATGAAATACTGGATGGATGTTCATTGTCTTTGGTAGTGCCAATTCATAATTCAAAGGTCCTTTGACTTTCTTGATTCTGAATGGCCCGAGTTTCTTGTGGTAGTGCTGGTTCGAGTAAGGATATATGAAATACTGGATGGATGTTCATTGTCTGTGGTAGTGCCAATTCATAATTCAAAGGTCCTTTCACTTTCTTGATTCTGAATGGCCCGAGTTTCTTGTGGTCCAGTTTGTCGCTTGGTCTCCTTGTGTCGATGTTTTTCCGTACAAGGTAGACTTTATCCCCCTCTTTTAACGTTGGCTCCTGACTACGTCGCTTGTTGTAGTAGTGCGCGTTACGTTCTGCCACGAACTGCAACTCACTTGCGAGTTCTGTGTGCAAACTTTTGATTTTCGAGACCTGGATAAGAGCGAGCTGATTGTCTGTAGTCGTAGCCAGTGGTTCTCGATACGCTTCCAATTCGTACCCAAAGTTGGCGTAGAATGGCGTAACAAGTGTTGTTTCCGTTGTTGAACTGTTATATGCAAATTCCGCTAGTGGTAGCAGTTCAACCCAATCATCCTGTTGGTAATTTACATAACAACGAAGGTATGTCTCAACCACTTGATTCATGCGTTCGTTCCCTCCATTTGTCTGGGGGTGAAAGGCTGTTGACAGCTTCCTTTTCACTCCTAAGCGCTCCGTGAGGGCTTTCCAGAACAATGAGGTAAAGAGATTGTCTCTGTCTGAGACTATCTCTTCTGGTAGTCCATGTTTCGAGACTACTTCCTTGAGGAATGCGAATGCCAATTCCTCGGCTGTACTTGATTCTTTGTATGGTACCAAGATCATGTATTTTGTCAGCCTTTCCATGATAACCAGGATCGAATCGTATTCGACTCCTGTCATCGGATCCTTGGATTTCGGTAGTTTTACAATGAAATCCCAAGAGATCGATTTCCAAGGGGTTGGTGGTATCGGAGTAGTGCCCATCTGTCCATAAGGTGCATGGCGGGAAGCCTTGTTCCTAATACAGGTATCACACTCCGCTATCACTTCCTTGACTACG